ACACACGTATACACACACACACACACTCGCGAGCTTCTCCCAGACCAGCAATCCAAACGAAAATATCTTCCCTCCGTAGTATTTTGATCATTTGCTCCGCTAATAATCAATAAGATCGATGGATTCCAGAGAAGAGAAAACTTTGAAGGCCTTTTTCTCAAAATTATGACTCGGTGACAGTCATTATATAATGTGACATATTTCGCTTAATATTTGGAGTACAAAAACAATCCTGATATCATTAGAAAGCTAGGAATACCCTCTTTCCAGCAGTGTATACAACTCAAAATGTGTTTTCGGGTCAATGCGACTGATTTCGATAGAGCAGGTCACAAATCATTTTCGTAATATCTATCAAACTATAGATCCTAAACATTCTAAGAGTACAATATACACTTCTCGCCAGAAATCGAATCAAAAAGCATTTTAATGGACAAACTATTCCACAATTTAGGATTTTCCAGAGAGGGTTATTTGTGAATAAACGTCCCTCCGGAGCGTTTGCAATGAACGGGCCGGGAGCATGTTGTTTCTTACACGACCACTAGAGCACCTAGTGTGTTGAGAGAAGTTGCAGCAGTGAAGGGTTTCCATAAATTCAGAGGCATATTTGCAGGTCGGGTCGTCAACATGAATGTTAAAATCACCTAAGAGGAGAACAGATGGGGATATGGCAGAAAGCTGAGTGAGAATGTCAGAGAGGTCGGAGAGAAAGGAGGGGTTTGGCTTCGGGGGACGGTAGATGATGGCTGTGACTAGGGGAGTGGGACCAGAGAGTTTGAAGATCAGGTGTTCAAATGAAGAAACATTGGGGATGGGGATTATGGTAGCTTTTATGTCCTTTCTGATAATAGCAGCTATACCAGACTTTGTTTAAGTGTTTTATGTGTACCCTTTTGCTTCAGGAGATGCAGTTATGGATGATTTTTAAGATTTGTAGTTATCTCGTAGAAAATGCTGGAAAATGCTGCATCACTAAATTAATTCATTTGCGTGAAGTTATATAAGGAGAGAAGCCAGTCGTGTGCTGGGTGATGTTGTCCAGGTCCTGGTGCCTGCTCCACTATGTTTCTGTGGAACGGCTTGGGTTTGCTGGCTTTCAGAAAAAGGTTGATATAACTCACGATACACCAAACCCTTTTGTGAAACCATGAAGCATAGTTGTTGTATCCCTACATAAAGATTCATGTTGTTAATCACTGCAATGTTCTTAAATGCCTCATGCTAACCACCAGTTGATTTCTAGGGCCAACATGCCTGATAAGGCAACAGAGGAGAAAGCAAATCTCGCAAAGAAGTTGGCCGAGCAAAGGGCCAAGGGCGTAGAGGGCATCCCTACGACTGCCAAGGTGAGGCATCCAAGAGCATGACAATTGCAAAGAAAATATAAAAATTTAATAGATTTGTTTCTCTTTTTACCTTTTATTTATATCAATTTGAAATATGCAGCTCAAAATCGACGAGTTTGAGTCTAACGTCAATGAGATTAAAGACCCTTTCCCTCCAGCAGACTTTCCTGGTAAATCACAATACCTCCATACGGTTGATCATTCTATTCCAAACTCAGAGGTAGAAAAGGCATTTACTAATCCATGCTGCGTTGTTTGCTAGGTGATGATGAGGAGGAGGACCCTGAGATCCCAGAAAGCCCTAGACCTCGTCCGATGGCAGATCTGCAGCTGAAGGAGGAAGCAGTGCCGATGCCAGAAGCCAGCTCATTTTTTATCTTTGGACCTCAGAACAAGTATGACAGCTTTTGTTTGGTTTGATGAACAAGATGCAGTGATAATAAGGTCAACCAGTTTTGAATGTTAATGGCAGTTTGACATTTATTTTGTTGTGTTTAACAAGATAAAATATTCACATTTACAAAAATACACATTTTGTGAACTTAGACAACAGCCTGGATAATCATACCAGGATTTGAGGATAAAGCAGGATCAGGACCAGTGGCATAATTCCTATAATAGCAGTTTAGGGGGTACTGCGTGCCGTGACCGCTTGTGTGCTTTGCTAAGTCATTCAATTGTGTTTTATAATTATATTGAAGATTGACTAGGTAAGCCACATTATTCCACACTGAAATCCCCTTTGTGTCATCTGTAATTATGCCCATGTGAATGAAAGTGTGTATTGCTTTCAAATGTTTGTTCAAGACACACATCAGGTGTTCTATTTGACTGTTGGAGGGAAAATATGTCATTCTCTTGCTTAGGACAGTCTACAGTCAGTTAAACCATTGATTTGTTGGCATTGCTCCCGAACCTAGGTTAACTAGTAACTTCATTTCAAACATGAAAGCGGGATGCAACACTTATTTTAAAGGTAGAACACGGTGGTGATGATGTTCATCTTGCATGCCACTGCTCCCACGGCCCAGTATTCTGCAACCCCAATAGTCCCAACATGTCCTATTGTCTGGCAGCCAGTTATCCAACAATATTAGCACACTGAAAGCCAATTGTTTCTAAGATAAACTTATTTTGCAACACAATTAATTAGATATAGTTACTTATTATGCAAATGCTTTGAACTGGTTCACTATAAAATAGAATTTAAATGTAAGTCTTTTAAAGTTTTGCTGCTATATGCTTTGACTGCCAGGTGACCTTCACCTTTCATCTCTTTCTCTAGATCTGTATGTGCTCATGTCCTCTCTATCTCTTTGCCCTTACAAGTACAGTGGTTAAGCTCATATAGGTATTGTGCCCTTTATGAAAAAAGCACGAGATTTCCCCCAGTGTTAGTACTATTCCTGTAGTAAGGCTGATGTTAATTATATTAAGAACGTTAAGTCCAACAATGTCCCAGATTTCCTGAAAAGATCGCGCAGGGTCAACATCGCTTGGAGAACCCGAGGGTAGAATACCTTTATTAGTCCCACAGAGGGTAAATGTACGTAGTTACAGCAGAAAAAGATCCACAGACAGCTTAATGTTACATAATGTATGATAAATGCATTAAAAAGTATTAAAGCTACAAAAAAAAGTTAGGATATAATAAAAAATATATTAAAAATAAAAAGTTACACAATTTACAAAATTCACATCCTGTAACAGTTCTTAGGATTAAGCAACCAGGTATATATATTGCACAATTATTAATGGCATATATATATATATATATATTGCACTTATAGCACATATTGCACATAGTTGGTTGGTATTTA